GAGTTCAAGAACGTTGTGGATGGTGTAAGACAGAGTGTGCTTGGCTTCCTATAGAGCGTCCCAGGAGCAAGTGCAAAGGATGTCATGGATGCGGTGCTCACGGCTAAATACCTCGACACCATGAAGGAAATACGTGCATCATCAAAATCTGATGTCGTATTCATTCCCCCTGGTGCAGGAGTTGAAGTGGGCATCCATATCTGTCAGTAACCGAGGTGGGGGTTGATTGTTGGGAGGGTTATCTTTAGTGTTTGCGTTCTTCATGAAACACAAGCATGCATGTGTGCATTTGTGTTTGTGTGTATGTGTGTGTGAGAGAGAGAGAGAGGGGGACAGAGACAGAGGATAACAACAAGGTCTGTGATTGGAGGTGCAACAACCCTCTGCCTCCTGAAATATGGCTGCTTCCTTACATTCTTCCTATTCATCCAGGTCTTCCTCGATCCCACCAAATGTTCCTGGTTCCACGCCAAGTAATGTGTCTCAGAATATTATTCTCTTTGAAATGCTATCGATTTTGCCCTTCCGTACTTTTGTTGATCTGAGATAGATGGCGAATGTAACTTTTTGCCTATAATCTTCGTTTTATCGTGCTAATCAAAGTGTACTCATTACATCACATTGTTTCCGGTTTCAAGAATGAAAAGTTTCATCTCAAAATATTCAGTTAACAAATAGCTTAATTTTCCAACTTAACATATGTTTCTGCCAACTTAACATATTTGACTGCAAGTATAATAGGAACGACAAATCAAAAAGCAGTCGTGCATGTTTCTTCTTTTATAGGACACATGTGGTGTCACTGTCGGATGGTGTATTTGCCTATGTTTTACTTGTAGGTGAAAAGATTCGTGTCTCCATCGAGTCACCTCGTTTTATGCCTTCGAAAGGAACTCTATGTGCGACCTTACAATCAGATCTATTGGGAGCTAACTAGAAATTTATGTGCTAAAGTAATTCCTTTTCACTTGTGTGGTAATGGAACGGCAAAATCTCTGCTTCGGTTTCTCTTGTATTACGCCTATGTAAGACATGACAGAGACAACTGTTCACATGCATAGTTCCTGCAAGCTTAGAAAACCTTATCGCTGAAGTATGCACGAAAAAGATAAGTCGTCAAATACTGATTTCTCATACTTGCCCAAGAAGATTTGTACTATCCTCACCGTTGGATCCAAGACATGTTTTTGTCAGTTTTGGAGTTGTTTACGCAAGGTTGTGGAACCCGTCTAGCATGGTGGCCTTTCTATAAGATAAGACAGATTGCTCTAAAGACTGTAATGGAGCACATCCACTATGAAGATGAAACTAGTAACTACATTTGCACTGGTCCTGTTAGCAAGGCAACTCCATGAGATCCCTTGAAGTGATGTGAAAAATAGGGGCTTGTTGCACCTATATCCATCTTATTATATGTAGAAACAATATTGTATGCCGGGGACATGTGTTAAACATGGTCTGCTGTAGGGTAGAGAACCCAAATTGAAAGCATACAAGCATCATCTCTCCAGAATCAAAGATTATTTATGGGTGGCTGAAGATGGAATGAAAATGCAGGTACTGGATTCATATAATGTATTGTAAACTTTTTATACAGTTTGTTGTGTTTTATGTATAACGTTTATTTTGATAGATCTGCACAAAGAAATGCTTTCAAATTGGCTATACTTACAGGGTATACAGTGGCTCTCAACCGTGGGATGTTGCATTTGCTGTTCAAGCTCTCCTTGCTACCAATCTTGTTGATGAATGTAGCTCGACCCTTAAGAAGGCGCATGAATTTGTCAAAAACTCTCAAATACTTGTATACTACTAAACTCCTTTATCCTTTTCAAGCTACATATTTGTTTGATGACTTGCAGAAATAGTGTCTGAAGTTTTGCAACACAACTAATCCAAAGTTCTTTTCATTAAAGGTCAGAGCTGACAGCAGAAGAGATCTTGCCGATTGGTACCGCCACATAGGCAAGACAGGTTGGCCCTTCTCTACTCCTGAACATGGCTAGATCATATCCGACTGCACTGCAGAAGCATTTAAACTAATATTCTTAATGCTTCGTGTAATGATTAGAGCAAAGCTCATCTAGTAATATGCGACTGTAGCACACTTACATGGCTATTTCAGTTCAGAAAATATGTTCTAGTAATTTAGCATGGTGAGCTGGCTTAAAATTGACTTTTCTCGTCAGAGAAATTCATGAAGGAAGTAAATCATGTTCACCTTGGTTTTTGAATTACATGAAAAGAATTGAGGAAAAGGACTTATTTAATACAGAGTATAGGGGGTAATTCTTTTGCTTGCAGGCGGCATTATTATTATCAGAAATGAAGCCAAGCATCCTTGGAAATGCGATAGCATTCGATCAACTATATGATGCTGTAACGTGATCTTATCCCTTCATGTACTATAAATTAACATCAGCCAGTTATCCACCTTCATTATGGAAAATTCTTGAAAGCTGATCCTCTTTCAACTCTTTATGTTAAAGTTGATGAGAAGCCAACACTACTGATGTATTTTGGTCGTTGATCACAAAAAGTTGGTATTCTTAATTCGTATTATTAGAAAGTAATGTGACGATAATGAGAGAACTTGAAAAAGTTATATTTGGATGAGTTTTTATGCAGTATGCTGTAAAAACTTGATACTGATGTGGCAGAACCAAAACAGAGGATTTGAAACGTATGAGCAAACAAGATCATATTCATGGTTAGAGGTATGATTTCTAGCTCTCTTCCATCTGGTTTGAACCTGGAGAGAATCCGACATGTTTTAAAGTACACGAACCTTTTTTGTCATGCAGATGATCAATCCATCAGAAACATTTGGAGATATCATTATCGATTATTTGTAAGATCATGACGCAAAATTTTTCGATTTTTATGAATTCTACATGGAGAAATTACTTATTTGACGATGAAGAAAAATATATTACTCCAGGTGAACAGGAAAAATGCATGCTTTGCCCGGTAAATCTTTTTTGGCTGCACCAATAAGATTTTCTATCATCAGTGTAGCGTAGAATCATTCTTATTAGATGTCTTCTTGTTGTTTGACTAGCAAATTTCTTGTATTTAGGTATGTAGAGTGCACTTCTGCAGTTTAAGGCGTTCATTAAGTGATATCCAGGCCACCGAAGAAAGATATTGAGGCATGCATCTCAGAGGCTATTGAATACATTGAAAGGATACAGCTACCTGATGGTTCTTGGTCAGTTTCCTCCCTCAAGATGGTTATCACTTTTTTTAGTCATAATGATCTTAGCAAAGGCCAAATTTGGATAATAAAATGTCCCACGTTGTCATCTATTGATTTTGAAAGCTTAATTCGCCTTCAATCTGTCGGCAAATTATATTATCTAGGGTCTGTCTGGAGTCATTTCCTTATATGGGGAGTCTGTTACACCTATGGAACATGGTTTGGGATAAATGGATTGGTTGCTGGAGGTAGAACATATCAGAGTAGCGAGAGCATCACAGGAGCATGTCATTTCCTACTGTCCAAACAACTCGATTCTGGTGGTTGGGGAGAGAGTTACCTTACAAGAGATCAAATTTGAAACTTTCTCCTTTCTTTATCCAAGGTCTTTACGTTCAGTCCTTGAAGACAACTTGAATTGGAATGCAGATTGTAATGTATTTCAATTTTGAAATTTGACAACATGCCAACTACACCTAATAATTGCCATAAGACTGTCTACGAAGAACTTTGTATTGTAGATGATAAGGTGCTCTCTAACTAATTTTTTTATGGTATTTGGGTTTCCATCTGGGTACAGAGATATACAAACTTTGAAGGAAACAGAGAGCACTTGATGAATACTCGTTGGGCTATGTCGGCTCTTATTGAATTTGGACAGGTACATAGACGTGAGCTTGTCCTTGAGATGCATAAACGCTAGTAATTCGCTTCTCATGATCCTGAATGATTGATTAGGCTGTGAGAGATCCTACCCCTTTGCATCGTGCAGCAAAAGATTTGATCAATTCGCAGATGGAAAATGGTGATTTCCCTCAACATGAATGTTGAATACTGGAGGTGCAGCACACGCATGCAGTGCTATAACCTGCCTGTATTACTCGCCAAATATATTTGATAAGACTCTTGGGTGCTAACGTTTGAGTGTCACATAATTGACTTGAATCATCTTCACACTTACCTACTGTTAGTAAATAACAAGGATTCATAAAGCGTGTCTGTAAGTGCCATAGAACTTATCATGCCATGCTCATGAGTATTGATTGAACCATGTCCTCTGGTCATAATTAATTCTTTTCTCGCCAGAGTTTGTGGGAGTTTTTAACAGGAACTGTATGATAACGCATGCTACTTACAGGAACAACTTTCCTTTTTGGGCTCTGGGAAAGTACTACAATTGTGTACTGAGACATCCCGAGAATGTCAACTGAAATCATGACAACAAGGCAACTGTTGAGATGAATGAAGATACTTCTTAGTTGTGCAAATCACGATGGTATAATCTCATATCTGGTTATAACTTCATAATGTCCACTCATAGTGCAAAGTAATAATAATATGAAACAAGGATAAGGAAAATTGGGTACAGAATTGCGTTCGATTCTGCATGTGTTGAAGTAGAACTTGATATGATCTGCTAGCTCACTAAAATTCTTAAGAGAAAGAAATTAACACTGGTATTGTGTAAAACCAGTGGAGTATATGTATATGTTAGCTATCGGTATATCTAAATGGTGAAAAGTACATGAAGAAACATATAGGCACTATGTGTATCTATACCAGTTACATAATCATATGACTTCCCGTCATGACCTTTTTTTTGGGCCAGCCATGGAGACCTAATTTAAACATGTTACAAATTCATGTCTTCATATAGAACTAACTCCATTCCCTTGCATGACTTCCTGAAACATAGCTTGCCGACTTTAGCCAAAAAATAAATGATACATCAGATTCTGGTTCAATAGCAGAACTATTAACACTTTGTGTAGTCACTTGTATTATAAACAAAAAGCAACCGGAGCACAAATAAAACCACATCCCAATATATTTTTTCTTCTCATGAATGCGTCATACACTGATAGGTTTATTCTTGCACAGGTAATCTTACATATGCACATTCCAGAATTACAATTTGCTGGTGAAATGGAAGCTGAATGTCTAACAATGTATTATTCTCGAATCTTTTGAATTCCTATCCATCGCGCATAATCCACCCACCTGTTACAAGAGAGAGAACAAACATGTGCTTCTTAGAGCATTAAAGAAATTTGTGTTATTGAAATGACAGTCGGCGTGAAAAGTCTTACATCAATGAACCCAAGAATGTATTGCCAGTTCGAACAGCGAAGCATAACGCACTGAGAATGATCTTGTGCTGGTGTAGCAAGGGCTCTAGGATTCTCTGTTCTATAACTCCAGCCAGGACCTGATATCTGTTCACCAAAATAAATAGCAGATTATCTTATGAGATATATACACGTGCGTGCACACACAGATACAATAATTAAAAAGGAGAGTGAATGACACAAGTGTTCTCTAAAATAAGGCTATCCCTCTAGCTAATTGGTAAAGTTAGACTGAATGCAGACCACATTAGAAAACTATCTGCGTCTACACCAGTCCCTTGCAAACTGTAAATATCCAAAACAACTATCCAGATATAAGCATGGGCTATGAAAAGTGGGTAACACGCAGCCACAAACCTTAAATTGCTAGAAACTGCCATGTATACTCCGTATGCAACACTGGTGGAGAGGACAGGCACATCCTCTGCCTCAACCGCAAAGGTTTTATCGAAAAGCTTTCTTGTATTTATCAACACATTTGTCAAACCTGTACCAATCTGAAGAACAATTTTCAGGATTGTGCCCAAGAAGACAGTAACAATGTTACATCCAAAATACTGTTTCTATTTAGCATATACAGGGAAATTAAAAGTAACAAGCTTCAACAGTATTTCTTCCTTGAGTTCAACACCGAGAGGAAGTCCACAAATATTACTAAGAAATTCCTTCGATCTAAAGTCTGAAGGACCCAAACCAAAAGGTTCGACCTTCTAAGAGGTTCTGTTCATGTAAACTTCCGGCCAGGCCCTTGTTATTGGTATGGCAAGCAACTACAATGAAATATGCTGAAAAATCTCAGGAAAACATTCTTCTATCCCTTAGGTGAGTGAGGGGCTCGTAACAACCATAAAGGACTCAGAACAAGCATTAACTATACATAGAAGAGAACGACATAAACAGAGGAGACTCTGATGCAATGATAGCTGCCAAAATTTGAAGCATTGCTGATTCAAAGTGACATACCAAAGATGCACCAGTCCCGACTATGAAAAGCTTGGCCCCATTACGCTGTTCTACAGAAAAAACCATTATAAGTTCTGATCTGTAGTGAAACCATTTCGTCAAATTGAACTAAGTGCACACACATACCAGAATTGCACCTATTCTCTGCAACAATGAGTAAGAGCTACCAGCCAGAGCAACCTGCGTGTAGATTGTCAAAGTAAATGAATTGTTATACACCGTCAATCGTAGTTCAAAGAACTATATCTAATGCCAGAGTTAATGACCTGAAAAGCATTATCAGGACAGCCATAGAAGAACGTAGAAAGTGCTCCAGCATTGACAGCGAGGGGGGGTCGGAGAGAAACGGTGGGAGCAGGAAGCCAGACCAGCATAAAATCTGCTATAATGGCCATCACCTGTCGCTCAATAGAACGAGGATTATTAGGATGCCCAGAATGAGAGATTAAGAAGTGTATCTAGCAATTTGATTAAATGAAGACCAAAATGAGTTAGGCGTGACACCAAATTTTCCATTGTGGACCAGACGCTTTTCCCATTACTTAGCGGCTAAGCTAAATTTTAATGCCATCAGACTCACTCAATCTTTGCAACATGACAAGTGTATATTGAAACAAAGCATGGGGTTATCTAGAAATAATAGTTCATATATTCTAAGATGATAACCACATAACATTCAAGAGAGACTTCCATACCACATCAGCGAAAACAAAATCCAGCTCCTTTGTAAACTTTTCTCTTCGCCGCTCCAACTCTGCAGCACTCTGTTAAAGTAGCAAAAAGGTACATGATCACATTGTTGTATGTTGCATACTTCCATTTTATCTTTATGATGGTTTCAGACTTCAGTTAACTTTACCCATGAATAGGAAACACAATTAAGAAATCCAAAAAATTACTTTCCACTACAAGAAAGAAAAAAAAGAACAGGAAACAGAAAATGAACAGACTGTAATTTCAAGTAATTGTTCAGTGATTTGTGCAGTGCCTTTCAGATTTTTAAGGTCTCTTCCATTACATTTCCTAGACTTAAAAGTTTCAAACTTCACTAATCTTTGATAGCTCCTTGGACACCCTCAAAGAGTTTTAAGTTGAGAATAGTTTCAAGAGTCGCTTTTGGAGAACCGAGATATATTCTAGCGTGACCCGACAAAGCATGCGTGTGAGTGCAGTATAAGCAGTATTACAATCGGAGAGAGCAACCTTGGTGAAGATGCCAACACCACACTCCATTGCAACCTTGGCCAAGAACAGATCATCAGCAAGTAGCCTCTCCCTAAATCCTCCAAACTGAAGCAACCACCGGAACACCGCTGACTTCTCAAGCTCCAAGTACCTCTCCACCACTGCTGCCGGCACCTTCCCCGCCTGTATTGCTGTGGCCAAGTCCTTGGGGATGCTGTCCAATGTCCTCGAAACCTGATTGAGCACAATCGCATCAATGTAACATACAATGTGAATTGCATAGATTGAAATTGCACAAGTACGTTCAAATTTAACTGCGAGAGGGGACAAATAAGTCTTACGATTAAAGGAGTGCAGTTCCTCAAAGAAAATCAAACTGAACAGAGTGTACATTTTTATTTGGACATGCACCAAAAGGTAGTCTAAGGCATGCGCAAGGGTACATGCAAATCAATAAATATTATGCTAACATTTTGAATTATGACCAAATGTAACTCTTGATTAAGCTAAATGGATCATATTCAAGCATCTAACAGAAGCGTCACTAATCTTAGCATCTCTAGCACTATCGATGTAATATTTCAGCATGAACATGTACACATGGTATTACTGCCTTTATTGATGGATGCAGTTTGTGGAGGCTACCTCAGCTAAAGCAAGGAGAGCCTCGATTCTGTTGCGGGACCCAGAGCCATCGCCACCGTCTCCTCCACCGCCACCTCCTTTTCCGCCTCCGCCACTGCCACCGGGGCCACCCCCGCCACCAGAGTAGAGAATAGGTGAGAAGCAGCGGCCACGGGGGATGGCAGAGGAATGATGTGCAGGGGAAGTAGAGACCAACGGTCTAGAGCTCACACGGCGTGTCACGATCATGAAGCTGTGAGAGGGACTGTCATGAGAGTGGGGGCCGTGGTGGTGGTTATGAGCTGTAAACGAGAGAGCGGGAGAGTGTGGAGAGAGGCTTAACGAGAAAATGGCAAAAGCCATGTTTCTTGCTGAGTCTGGGTTTTTCTGAGACGGAGACAGAGAATCACACAAACACAAACCAACACAAAACACTTCCAGAGACAGAGGGAGAGAGAGAGAGAGAGAGAGAGAGAGAGAGAGCTGTACAGTAGTAATGACTGACTGATGAAGTGATGAGAGGCATGAAAATGAGTGGCAGAGCAAAATTGTGGCCATTTGTTTCTGTGTAGTGGTCCCACGTCCGATGACTTTTCAAGGAAGAAGACGATCCACAGGCTTTTGTCACTCCCTTCTTTGGATGGTGAATTAGTGGCTGCAAATTCTGGTCTTAACCCACACCACCCCCCTCCCCCCAAAAAAAAAAAGGACTCGAAAGTCTGGGAACTAAACAACAAATCTGGAAGAAAAGGTTCAGGTTATATTGCAGACGTGGTTTGATGAACTACGTTAATCAGAGCTTGGGATATTGGTGATGAACATAGCAGCTGCTGACCTATGATTACTGATTATGGCGATTATAAGACAAACATTATTAGATTAGTGCAAGGTTTAGAGGAAAAAAGAGATTCCATTTGCCTGATCAGTACATCAAGAAGAAAAAGCATACAAGAAGCACGGAATATAAGGCTGAAAAAACATAAAAGCAACATATTCTAGAGGTAGAAATTTCGTCTTAAAATAGATAGGTCCCTCAATGATGAACCTTCCGCCAATTTCAATGTAAAAAGCAAGGTCCATAATGCTGATCTCTCATTCTTTCTTCTTCCTATATCACCGTTGCGATAGAGGACAATTAGAGATATGCAGCTGCTGAAGCGAGGGAAACAGAAACAGGCCAGCTTTGGAAAGGAAGCAAGTACGGGTCAGTTGAAGACATTCACATACCAAAGGGAGGCAAGTTTTTGAAAACCTCTGGAACATAGATATTTCAGCTTCGGAAGATCTCCACCAATCAAGCTCGTCTAAGAGGCAGGAAGCAGCAGAGGCGATCCCTTTCTCACCGGCTGGAGGCACCAAATCAGGACATGTCCGAACCTGAGTTCTCTAAGGATTTTGAGTTGTGCAAACCCCATCAAAAAGGTGCTTGAATATTGTGACATCCTTACTCCAGAGTAAGGTTACCCTTCGATGGAAAAGTTGACAACCCTGCACATTTAATCATCCATAATTGTCGAAGAGAAGTGAGGTTGTACATGTGATTTGGCAGGGCATTGAGTTTGTTGCAATCATATATCTAGAACTCCCTAAGACGAGCTAGGAAACCCTCCTTCAACAAAGTATGCTTGGGACCCAACTAATCCCGACCTCTCTGAGACTGTTGAGGTCATGGATGCCTTCTGGTATGGAACTCAGGTTTTGAGTCATAGATGCAGATAGGCTCGAGGAACCAACATTCCTGGAGACAACAGTCCTGCAGTTGAGGCAACCAACATTCCACAATCTTGGGTTACCATTTTGTTCAGTGAAGGGAGCTGGTCATGTAAGGTTCTGTAAAGTTAGGACATTTGACAACAGAAAGCTCGATTAGCTGTGAAAATCGTTGGAGGCCATGTTAAGATCGAACTTGAGCGCCGTCAAGTTCAAGCTCATCAAAAACCAAGTAGGAGCATAACGCATAACTGTTCACCTTGCACTCTATCGCAACACATCTCAGCAGAGAATTCGTCTCCTCTGCGTCTTCCAGAATTGTCCGAATGGGCACCATGATCTTCCTCCACTTGCCTGGCTTCGGTTCGATCCCAAGCCTGCCTCGCCGCCGTAGGAGGCTGAGAAGCTCACAAGAGGCCAATCTATCGAACAACACCTGGAGGAACACGCCAAGGCAAAGCTCGCCAACCACCATCTGGTTTTGCTCACTGCACAGTGGAAGACGAAAATCAAGGCGAATAAGGCAAGAGGAGCAACGCACTCCCAGTGGCGAAACTTGATGGAAGAGAGATCAACAATGTGAAGATGAGCATAAGACATCAAAGGAGGAGATTCTGTCGGAGTACTTGAGAGCATTGGCAGGTCTACCGCTACTTTGACGTCTAATCCCTACTTCTGAAAGAAGAAGAAGTTCAAGTGCAACTTGGATTCAGAGACTCACATTCAAGTGAAAGTCTAGGGCTCTGTGAAACAGAGCAACTTCTCAGCTGTCACGCGGGTGTCGTCAGTTGTTAGCTATGAGTATGAATTTCATGTCATTTCCTTCAATCATGAATTCATTCTTACTGTGTTATGATTCCTTCCGCCATTTTTACATTTTGATTAAAAACTAGCAAAGTTCTTGACCATTTCCAGCCGTCTCGATGTTGACAAAAGAAGAAGCATGCATGCATATTGGAGAGCTACAAATTCCTAGAGCATTTATATAAACGGATGGTTTAGTCTATACCCAAAATCAAATTTCTATTTTTCTTTATTTTTCCGTGTAGGATTTCAAATCTTGTTAATGAAATTTCAAGTTCTACGATACTAATTCTATCACATTCTATAAAATAATCTCGTGTAAGGATGAATCATACGATCAATAATCTCAAGTGAGTAAGTCTTTTGATATTTTGTTTCTTTCATATAAAATCAGATAAATTTATCAGATAAAATTCACTTGAGATAATAATATTCTTTTCCTAACAAACTACTTAATGAAATGGCCAAGAAAAACAAAAGAGAGAAATGGGAAAAATAAAAAGGGAGGAGCCAAGAAAGTGAATTTTAGCGTATAGCAGAGAGAGAAACAGGATAACAGCTCCTCTTATCTCATCTTCTTTCAATCTTCCCCTTGGTATAGCATCGACAGTCCTCCGCTCTCTCAAAGCCAAGCACTAGACCCCAAAAAAAAAAAAAAATGGCGTCTTGCGCAACGCCGTCGCCGGTGGCCCTAGCGCGCTCGCCGTCCTCCTCCCTATCCGCAGCCCAGGAGCTCACCTCCTCTCTCCTCTCCTTCAAGAATCACCGCTCTTCCTTCCTCTCTCCCTTGATTCTCAACTCCCTCAATTTCTGCTGCTTGGATGATTCCAGAACCAGGCACCACGACTCCGGTCGCGGCAGCTCTCTCGGCCTTGTGGTGGCCGCCGTGGCCTCTGCCGCAGAGGCGGAGGTGGTTGAGGAAGGGGCGGAGGAATCCAAAGAAGGCGCTGCTGTTTCCACCGTTGCCCCGCCCAAGCCTAAGAAAGGGAAAGCGGCTTTGCCACTCAAGAGGGACAGAGTATGTAGTTTGTGTATTAGTAGGGTTCTTGTGTTGGCACTAGTTTTTTTTTTTTTTTACTTATTGTCTTAGTTCGACTGTTCAATCCGAGTATGAGGAAGAAAGATGATTCTTTTCCATGACTTGGCTTAATTATCCTACTAGTCATTAGAAAAATGCCCACTGGAATTTAGTTGTCTAAGGATTAGAAGAACGAGCCTCTTAACAGATTTCATGGTTTGTTGGTTTGTTCACTTAACATGTGCTTATGATTCATGATGTATCATCGTTTGTCTTACTTCTTTTTCCTTTATAATCTCTGATTTTTGTTGTTGGATAGTTGGAAAAATCAAGTAGTGATTCTTATGAGAAGTACGACTTCTAAGTTCGGTTTTCAAGTTTTACTTTCTGAAATTCTCAGAGCTCTTTATGATGATTTACAATAAGATCTACCTATACCTTGGCACCTGGTATAAGTCCAAATTGCGGAGCTCAAGTCATGTTCATATATTGCTCTTATCAAAGTTTTAGCAAGCATTTTGTCATTTTTCTTTATTCTCGCTTGCCCTGGTTAATTTACATCTTTTAAATGCCAGACGAGGTCGAAGAGATTCTTGGAAATTCAGAAACTTAGAGAAAACAAAAAGGAGTATGACCTGAGTGCGGCAATTTCCTTGCTGAAAGAGACGGCACGTAGCAAGTTTGTCGAAACTGCTGAAGCCCATTTCCGGCTGAACATCGACCCTAAGTACAATGATCAACAGCTGAGGGCGACTGTGAGTTCTCTTGCTTGCTTCATACCTTGAACTCATGTTTCTGTCAAATAGATTTTCCTCATAGTCCAATAATCTCTGTCTCTAGGTGAACTTACCCAAAGGAACTGGACAGACCGTCAAAGTGGCTGTGCTTACTCAAGGTGGTAGCTCAATCCTCAGTATCATTTTGCTTATTAAGCCGACTCATGCTTTGATGAATGATGGTGAACTCAGAACTGTCATTATATTATCCACTTGTCATCTGAACCGCGTATCAAGCATTGACTTGGAAGTAAACACACTTGATGAATTTTCATTGGACAGCAACATAGTTATTGTTGCTTTGACTCATCATGGAGGTGCTGATCATCTGTAGGTGAAAAGTTCGATGAGGCAAAGAATGCAGGAGCAGATTTAGTTGGAGGAGAGGACTTGATAGAACAGATCAAGGGAGGATTCATGGATTTTGACAAATTAATTGCTTCCCCAGATATGATGCCCAAGGTGCTTCTCTGCTATTTATATGACTGATTATTTGTTTATCCGAACTTCTGCTTCCATGTGCTTGAAGTAACTTCTAAATCTTGTCTGACGAAGAACTGTGAAGTAACATGTCTTCTCCCTATGATATGTTGTCCTGACAAGTTGCAAATCTTTGGTAAGCATATAATTTTGCGCTGGTACTGGTGGCTCATCTCATATTATACATGATGATGATGATGGTTCAGATGGAATTCAACTTTTAAGGGGTGTGTGTGTGTGTTTTACACATTTCTCAGGATTTGGTTGATTCATTTGGAAGCTAAAGTAGAAATTGCCTTTCTCTGATAGTGTTTTAGCCGGTCTTATTTGATATGCCTGCAAAATATTCCTGTGCAATTGGTTAAGAGGGACACTGAAGGTTTATCTAGCTGATCTTTAACTGGTAACTTTTGCTCACGGGCTTCTTGATGAACTTCTGTCAGGAACTTGCTATCTATGCACATATCCAAGCTCTAAGATTTCTGGTTTGTATTTTCATAAAGTATTTACTGTGTGTCAGGTTGCCAGTTTAGGAAAGCTTCTTGGACCACGAGGACTCATGCCAAATCCAAAAGCTGGCACAGTGACAACTAACATACCTCAGGTATAGTTGAACAGGCAAATTTTCATGCTTTTTTGTTCTGCAGTGGTTGCATCAGATGTACTAAGTAGTTCATTTGTTATTCTGCAAACTCTGTCAAGAGTAAGTCCATAAAACATGTAATTGCTTGATTTATTAATGAGATATAGAAAGTCAACGTTGTTGTGCATCCTATGATCTATGGATGGCAGTTGAGAGAGTAGCCGCAAGGCTAGTATATGTGGCACTGTTGGTTCTTTTAATTAGCTGATACGTAATTATACAGGCTTCGTGGTAGGTAGGAGGAATGACCATGCCGAATTGTTATTTCAGGCTATTGCAGAATTTAAGCAGGGGAAAGTTGAATACAGAGCGGACAAGACTGGGATTGTTCACATACCTTTTGGAAAAGTTGACTTTCCCGCAGAAGACCTCCTCGTGAATTTTCTTGCCGCAGTAGTATGTTCTCATGCTCCTATGAGATGAGTTGTTTCGTCATCATGCTGATAGTATACTAAATATCTGCTGTGTTTCTTCGACAGAAATCTATAGAAGCAAACAAGCCATCTGGCGCAAAAGGAGTGTATTGGAAAAGTGCACACATATGCTCCTCAATGGGGCCATCTATTCGGTTAAACATAAGGGAGATGCTTGATTACAAGCTCCCATCAAATGCCTAAACAGTAAGGCTGTAAATTGTCTTGCCTGGGTTCGTGTTCTTACCTCTTTGAGTATTGAGGAATGACATTGTCCATAGAGGGATATGAAAGTGAGAGCAATCATATGAGGGATTGCATGTCGCGAAGTACATTTCATTGATGGCCTCAAAATATCTATTTGCTTCTATAGATGGCTGTGGGCATGAGCAAAATACTAAGATGAATTGGGACCTTACACTCAGTGCTTGCACCTTAAATTAAGGTGATATACCAGCATGTTGTACATGTGCTTTGATGGTTAGAGGGTCCTATTTTATAAGTCATCAAACGGCAAGATTAGCAGTATATGAATTTTATTAGGAACTTCGGAATGCGACGTCCAAGAGAAGAGAAAACCCCATGCACATTATGTGCAGAAAACCCTTATGCCTGCCTTGGGCAATTTCAAACATAGCAAGCCGGCAAGATATGGCCTTTTTCAGATTAAGTTTCACTTCATGGAGTGATTTGTCTTCCGTGGGCGCAGATTCCTGGATTGATTAATAAGATCATTTACCTACCTCATGGAACGCTAAGTGCAGAAAAAGGTGGCCCCTCTCCGTAAAGTACATTGATGAACCACTGAAAATGACTTTTCACCCTCCTGAAGGAAAGAAGTTAGCTTTACGGTTGTGAGTGGTCCTTGTAGAATTCCATCCGGTCTGGAATTCAAGATGGAGCCAGAGTATGGCCAAAGTGGCATTCAGGAAACTTAACATCATCTTGACTTAGCTGCACAAACCCCAGATCATAATGCTTTGTCTTCGATCATAGTGTCGGATCAGATGTTTCAGCTTGGATGGTAAAATGAGCAGAAAACATTTTAGGCGCTGATCAGCAACAGAGAAAACAAGGCGCAGTTTGAAGGAAATTTCGTAAGGTTTTCCCATTATCCCTTAGATTTGATAAAATGTTCAACAGAAATCTGACAACTTCAGCCGGAGCTCAATGTGGAGGCTACACCAATATCATTTACTATTTAGATTAGTCGACATTACTGTGCCAAGTCAGTTAACTACAATCTATACAAAGAACAGCGCGGCAATTTGTCACCGAGCAGCAATGTCAACAGCGTCCCATGAGCACCAGGGGCATTACTGACTGACATGTTAAATACTATGGTGCTCGTAAATCCAGATGCAACCTTTATTTTTTCTATACAAGAACTAAGAAAACTCTAATGCCCAGCACCAAAACTTAGGAGGCATATTTGACACAAAACTGACATGTAGGCAGAAAATGTCTCGCATCACACTACCAAATGTTATTACATCCATGCAATAAATATAGTAGAGATCAATATCGGCATCGACTTTTGCCAACCAAGCCTGTGACTGAACGCCAACACTCACCGCTGCTCCACACTGCATCAACGCAACATAATAAGTAGAGCTTCAACGTGACTTTATAGGTAAAAATGAGAAGTGCACAAATATCAAACAAAGGGAAAACTAAACATTCTGTTAAACAAATGGTGGTGTATGACCTTTCGAAGGCTGCTCTATCCAAGGCCCATTCATTATATTCAGGATGCTACATGCTTCGCTGTATTCCAAATCCGGTAGCAACTTTGGAGTAAGAAGAAAACACCTGCACCATGTGGTTTGAACAAATTATTTTATTCCTCTCTCTCTCTCTCGGTGTGACAAATCCAAATAGAATTGTTTTCTTTCTTGGCAAGGAAATTAACAAATCTTTCATAATTAGAGGCTATAAACCAAATAGCATTGTCTATTTAATCTTGAACAGAAAAAAATATAAAAGATTTCAAGCATTCTTACTGTGCTGCATACCATGCTCAAAATTGGGACCTATACATTCCACACATTGGGGGATGAACGGAATCAACAACGTATCTAGGCTATCCTAATAAATAAATGC